GTGGCATGTGCTTGTTGTAGTCGCCGCTACTCTAGAGGCTGAGGTGGGAGGATTACTTGAGCCCAGGAGTTTGAGGCTGCAATGAGCTATGATCATGCCACTGTACTCCAGCCAGGGTGACCGAGTGAGACTCTGATTCAAAAATAAATAAAAGAAAATTGGAGAATGTATCGCTTGGCAACTGCTACATAAGAGCCCCCCCCACCAGGGGGCAGGATTGGCTGTAGTGGGAAACTGCCAGGGGAGGGGGACACACCTCATCAACAAGGGTACCTGCATAATGTACATCTGTATACTTAACTGATACATCTTCCAAATAAAAATTTAAAAGAAGAACCCCCCCACCCCGTGATTGCAATAACTTAAATAAAACCAATGATTTCTTCACAAGTCTGTGGGCTGGATGGGGTTCACCTGCTCTAGGTGGGCTGGCTGGGGGGCTCTGCTCCACGTGTTTGGTGATGGCAGAAACACCAGAAGAAGTGGAAACACACAGGCTTCCTGAGGCCTGACGGCAGAACTGTTATAAGGACATTTCTACCTCATTCCATTGAACCCCGGTCAAAGGTGGAGACATATATTCCACCTGCTGATGGACCCTCAAAGCCATTTGGTAAAATGTGTGAATACAGGAAAGGGTGAAAACTTGGGGCCACGAATGCCTTTTGCCATAGAGGACAAGCAGTGTTGCAGATGGAAGGACAGAAGACACCAGACAGGAAAAGGCTGGACAAAATATAATGAATACTGTGAGAATTACGAAAGGTGTTGAATTTGGAGCAGAAAGGCAGGTTTGTATCCTGGCTCTGCCAATGATTAGCCGAGTAGTCTTGGGCAAGTCATTCAACCTGAGCCGCCTTCATTTCATTATTATTAGTATTAGTAGTAGTAGTAGTAGTAGTAGTAGTAGTAGAGATGAGATCTCGCTATTTTGCCCAGGCTGGTCTCAAACTCCTGAGATCAAGCCATCCTCCCACCTTAGCCTCCCAAAGTGCTAGGATTACAAGAGTGAGCCACCATGCCTGGCCCATTTCATTATCTTAAAAATGGAAAGGATAATCCCTACTTCAAGGTGTGAAAATTAAATGGGATGATGTAAAAATTGCTTCGCCTTTGGGAGGCTGAGGTGAGTGAATTGCCTGAGCCCGCGAGTTCGAGACCCGCCTGGGCAGCGAGACCTCATCTCTACAATAAAAAAATCAGCCGGGCGTGGTAGCGCATGCCTGTAATTCCGGCTACTCGGAAGGCTGAGGCAGAAGGATCGCTGGAGCCCAGCAGGTCGAGGCTGCGGTGGCCGGGAGCGGCCACTGCGCTCCAGTCTGGGCGACAGAGTGAGACTCCAACTCAAAATAAAATAAAATAAAATAAAAGGCAAACCTGTGTGTAATGACACAGTAAGTTTCCAGGAGAGGTGGGAGACTGTCATGGGACACAATGGCTGCTTTCAAGCGCCTACAGGGAGTTCATGGGGGGAGAGGATGAGACACAAAGAGGTCTGTGTTGCAGACCCAGGACAGATGATGGAAATGAGAGGAGTGACAGAGGAGGAGTTTGTTGCACACAAGTAAACATTTCAATAATGAGGACAGTCCAACATGGCTTTAGGAGTTGGGGGTATCTTTGTCACTGGGAGTGCTGGAACAGAGGCTGACTGACCTGTCCCTTTGGAGGAGGGTTGAAGGGGTGATGCAACACCTTGTGTCCGTCAGCTGGGCTCAACCCAGGGCAGGCCACCATCCCAACCCCCACAGGGCGTCCTGTGTTACCAAAATTTCCAGATGATTCAAATGGCACTTGGTGGGTGTGGGCCAGTCCTGAACCATGGCAAATGATGGCACCCAACACGCTGACCGTGTTCCCGTGGATGAACCCTGGACTAGGGGGATTCGGAGTTCCAGTCTTAAGAGTTCTAATAAATGCATGCCCCATTTTAAAAAAATGCAACCAGCAAGCACCCTGTTTTTGCCACTGCCTCACTGCCTGAACTGAAAAAATATTTGACTTTAGAAAATCTTAGCTATAATTAAACAAGTAACATCACAACAGCAAAATGTTTCAGTCTGTTTAAATAGTAAAGTTGGCCAGATATGATGGCTCATGCCTGTAATCCAAGCACTTTGGGAGGCTGAGGCAGGAGGATCGCTTGAGTCCAGGAGTGTGAGACCAGCCTAGGCAACATAACGAGACCTTGTCTCTACAAAAAATTTTTAAAAACTGGCCATGGTGGCATGTGCCTGTAGTCCCAGCTACTCAGGAGGCTGAGGTGGAAGGGTCACCTGAACCCAGAAGGGGGAGGCTGTGGTGAACCATAGTTGTGCTACTGCACTCTGGGTGACAGAGTATGACCCGAACTCAAAATAATAATAATAATAGTAAAATGATACTCAAAGGTTTATAAAAGTACACAGAATCATTGTGCAAAGAGCTATGATAATGTGGTCAGGTGCATTAATCATTGATTATCCCACCAAATAAAGAGAGTGATGACTGCTTGGAGACATCACATTGGCTGTGACGTTAACTGAAATAAACAGTTGCACATGTAATGAACTGCTATCTTGGTTGCTACATGGAACACAAAAAGGCTCTTTGGGGATGTCTGTTTTTGTTTTTGTTTTCCCAGAAAACTAGCTAGGCAGTTTGAACTAGTACCTTTATTTCCATCAGCATTCACATTTTCTTGATTTGGGGGCTTGGATCATAGTAGTAGACTCCATAAATATTTGCAATTGTTGCTGCCGCTGCCACTGTTTTTTCACTAAGGTATTTTTTTTAAGTGCATGTGGCCCTGCATCCTGTGTCACTCTCTCCTGCCCTTCAGTTTATTTAGAACCCATGCCATCAAAAGGCAGTTGGAGATGGGAAAGAGAGCGTTTCACCCTTCCTGCAGGTGTCAAATCATCACCGAGTCACCAGCAACGACTTTCTCACAGAAATTTGTCTTGTGCTCGCTGTTTGTCTGGCAAACCTGCGGGCCCCTTTCAGGCACCACCTCACACCTCCCCTGCCTTTCCTGCCTCCCTAGAGGTTTGTATGTCTTCCTGTGCCACCACTGCTCCTCTAGGGACATCCACAATGGGGGGGCTCTCCGCCCTGAGGGTCACCAGAACTACCTGGGGGCTTGTGACGACCCAGCTTGCTGGGCCTTTCCCCAAAAGGCCTGATTCAATGGGTCTGGTATTGCCAAAAGAACACACATTTTTTTTTCTTTTTCTTTCTTTCCTCCTTCCCGTTCCGCCTCCCTTCCTTCCCTCCTTCCTTCTTCCCTTCTTCCCTTTTCTTTTTCTTTCCCCTTCCTTCCTTTCTGGGTGAGTCCCACTTTGTCCCCCAGGCTGGAGTGCAGTGGCACAATCACAGCCACTATAGCCTTGACCTGCTGGGTTCAGGCGATCCTTCCACCTCAGTCTCAGGAGTAGCTGGGATTACAGGGATGTGCCACCATACCTGGCTAATTTATTTTTTGTAGAGATGAGGTCATGCTATGTGGCCCAGGCTGGTCTGGAACTCCTGGGTTCAAGTGATCCTCCCGCCTCGGCTTCCCAAAGTCCTGGGATTACAGGTATGAGCCACTGCATTCAGCTTGATCATTTTTCTTACTTGATTCCAGGCTTATATTTTTCACTAGACTGTGTCTAGAGATCAGGGAGCATTTCTCACATATTCATCCTCAGGTCTATCCAGTGTCAAGCAGTCATTCAATCAACCAACAAATATGCACTCAATGACTATCATGCGACAGTTACTGCTCTAGGCACTGGGATTCAGAGGTTTAAAAAATGTACAAATGTGTGTGTGTGTGTGTGTATCCCTGCCCTCATAAAGTTTACCTTCTGGTGCTACATAGTAAAGCCTCAATAATTGTTTCTTGAAATTTGACCAGCTGTACAGGAGAAAACAATGGCATGATCATGGCCATTTTAATAGTACCCTGGAAATACCAATTTTTCACTCTCTAATCATGGCTTTTCCCATTTGTATGTTTCTCCCTTCTGATATCCCATCCCAGTGCCCAAAACACAAATCCACAACTTGGCAGTCTTACCAAATATTTGCTAATTGATTCATATGATATTAGGTGTAGCTGACATATTAGTTAAAAAAAAAAAATCCTAGAACTTAAGCACGTGGAATTAATAAAGCAACTTGGGAGGCCAACTATCTCAGTGTTGTTATATTGATGAATATTAAAGAACTGCTTAACTAGTGGTTTTCAAACTGGCATTAGAGGCCGGGCATGGTGGCTCACTCTTGTAATCCCAGCACTTTGAACTCCCACGGACCTATGTAGGCTGCTGTCCATGCTGGGACATCGAACCAACATTTGGGTTGTGCTGTGTGTAATTCTCAGAACCCTGTAGGAGGCCCTGAGAGGCCCTGTGAGGTCATGCAAAGGAACAAAAGCATGGCACCTGACTGCCACATACCCGGGGGATGTTTCTCATGAAACTTGCCCCAGGCCCGTGGCACAGGCCACTGCCAAACCCTCCCTGACCCTAGGAGAGCACAAAACAAGTACTTTCATCTTTGGACTAGTTTTTTGAAAGTTTCTCAGCAAATAAAAAAGAGAAAAATTATAGAGCAATCTGGAATGTAGCCGAAATGACCACAATGTTTGCTTTCAAGACTTTCAGTATTCTTGAGGTTTGTAAATGTTTTTAAAAGGTCTTCCCCTTTCTAAGGTCAAAGCCATGAGACACTGTGTTAATTATATGGAGGGGAAAATTATATGAGGGCAACATTTATGAATGGAATTCTAAAAAGACCGGTTTCAATATTCCAGACTCAAATACTTCTTATCTGTTAACATCATAACCAAATTTGAGATTCAAGAGTAAATGACTTCAGGAGTTAGGGATATCAAATAACAACACTGTCTAAGAATAATATTCTCTTCCTATTGCTACCCCAGATCAGTGGTATAACTGGATCGTAGTCCACCAAGGCATTGAGATTTTACATAGCAAAATATTTAAGAGAAATTAACAATTAAAAAATACCCCTTTTACATGGAGACCAACACCAACTTTATTTTTATGAGCCAATCCTCATTAAGTACATTCTGGTTACAAGAAAGCTTTGCGTATAAATGTGACCTTCTGATGAGCTATACACTGACTTCTAAAAAATGACATTTATTTTCCTGGAGCAGTTTATTAATTGTCATCCTTTTAACTGTAATCCAAAGGAGTTAACATTTCTCAAAAGGTATGTGATTCCCTGCAGAGGCACGACCTCCAGGGAACCAACTCCTTTCAAGTTGGTTAATATAATATAAAGTCAAGATAAATAGAAATCAATACCTGCTGGTGATTACACTGGTCTCTTTAATTATTGCTACTTCATTTAGTGTAATAAAAGAACACATTACTACATTATGGAAACCACACACAAATCTAAAATAAAATATTCTCAGTCACCTCATTTGTATCCTAGAAGTAGATTAGCGTCCTTAAAAAAACTTTTCACTTATTCACAAAATCCATCCTTATTTTCTGAGTTAACAAGGCTGAATCATCGAAGTGCAGTAAAAAAATTCTTGCGGCCTCCACTTGAGTGTAGACAGGCCTCAGTGGTCTCCAAGACACAGCTTCTTGTTTCGGTGCTGGTCTTCATTCAGAGGGACGGCTCTCAACACACCATCTAGTATCAAGAATAACTTCAAGTCAGGAAAATTTCACTTCGAATGCCTGGGCATTTGTGTCAGTCATACAGGTTGTAGGAGCGAAACAGTGTGATGTTACCTCCACCTCGTCGACTGAAGAACTGATTCTAGACAACTCACACTGGATAGTTCAGCCTCTGACCTTTTAAAATCTGGATTCACTCAACAAATCATATAGGGCAAATAATTCATTTACGAAATTTATTTTGGGGCAAAGTCCCTATTTTTAGGATGAAAGAAACAAAATGCACCTATTACCCACCCACTCCCTCCAAAGGGAGGTGGAAACTGTGTGTGGCATAGAGAGTATGGAGGACTCTTTGCCATTCACACTCCTCTAAGGAAGGAATATGGACTTATCTGACTGGGCAGGCTGGAAGAAAAGTTTGGCTTCAACCTCTTCCTGGCTTTTTGTTTTGCTTTTGTTTTTGTTTTAAGTCAGGGTCTCACTCCGTCTCCCAGGCTGGAGGGCAATGGCACAATCACTGCTCACGACAACCTCAATCTCCTAGGCTCTGGCGATCCTTCCACCTCAGCCTCTTGAGTAGCTGGGACTAAAGGCACACACCACCATGCCCAGCTAACTTTTTAAATTTTTTGTAGAGATGAGGTTTTGCTATGTTGCCCAGGCTGGGCTTAAACTCCTGGGCTCAAGCAATCCTCCCACATTGGCTTCCAAAGCACTATGATCACAGGCATGAACCACTGTGCTCAGCTGCTGACTTTTGTTTTTAAGATTTATTTGTACGATAAACCATACGTGTTTTAAAGCTGCAATAAACTGCACATATTTTTTTTTAAACATTTTATTTTATTTTATTTAGTCAGGGTCTCTCTCTGTCACCCAGGGTTTAGTGCAGTGGTGTCATGGCATACACCTGTTGTCCCAGCTACTCAGTAGGTGGGGAGAGGATTGTCTGAGCCCAGGAGTTTGAGACTACAGTGGGCCATGTTTATGCCACTGCACTCCAGTCTGGGTGACAGAGTGAGATCCCGACTCAAAAAATAAAATAAAGCATACAATTTGATGAGTTCTGACATAGGCACACATCCGTGAAACCATGACCACAGACAAGACAATGAACATATGCATCACTGGCAAAAGTGTTCTGTGCCTGTTTTCTTCCCATCTTTTGAGGGATCTGCCTGGCTCCAAACCTGTGTGCTGCTCTCTGTTTTCCCATCCTAAAGACACTCCTGTCACAGCTCAGGCTTGATCTGGAAAGGCCCCTAACCCCCTAGTATTTGAAACATAAAAAAAAATATATGTAGTGCAGATGGGCATTCTAAAGCCTAACGAGAAAATGAACACACAAGAACCTACTGCCCCCATAGTGCTATATCTTGCTTACATTTGCACTAGCTGATCAAAACTCTTTGTATGGGGGACAGGGTGAAAAAAGAAACATGCTGTCCAGCCTGGCCACTAGAACATCACCAGATGCCACTGTCCCTGTCTTTCCCATCCCTTTCACTCATTCAGAGGTAATTCTTACCTTGCATTTCATGATTATCATTCCATTACTTCTCAACTATGATTTTGCCACATATATTAAACATATACTGTTTGCCTTCTTTTTAAACTTTATACAGAAATTATAACAATTTTGCAGCTTTCTTTCAGAATTGCTTATTGCATCCACGTTGAAGAATGTAGCTATAGTTCATTTATTTTTACTGCTATATAGTAGTCCATTGTGGGAATGTACTGTTATATACATGTATTTCATTATTTTTATTTTTTAAAGAGACAGGGTCTCACTTTGTCATCCAGGCTGGAGTACTATAGCGTTATCATAGCTCCCTGTAACCTCAAACTACTTGGCTCAAGTGACCTTCTGCCTTAGCCTTCCAAGTAGCTGGGACTACAGGTACTGGCTACCATATCCGGCTATTTATTTTAATTTTCTAGAGACAAGGTTTTGATATGTTGTCCAGGCTGGCCTTGAACTCTTGGTCTCAAGCAATTCTCCCTCTTTAGCCTTCCAGGTTGCTGGAGTTTCAGGTGTGAGCCACTGCACCTGGCTTACACCATTATATTTTTAATCTAATCTCCCAAGATAAACATATGTGCTATTTCCAGTTTTTACTTTTAAGAAAATGTTGAAATAAATTCTGTCTCTTATACAATACACAAGAGCTTCTCTAGGGCATATACTTAGAAGCTGAATTGCTGGATCATGAGTTTATGTGCACTCTCAGCCTTACAATGATAAGGCCAAATAGTTTTCCAAGGTGGCTGTACAACTTTCAGTCCAATCAGCAAAATACAGAAGTTCCTAATGAATCATATCCTTACCAGGACTTGGTATTGGTAAACTTTGATTTTGCAAATTTAATACGTATAAAACACTGCTTCAATGGGATCTTAATTTGCATTTCTCTATTAGTGAGTTTGATCATCTTTTCATGTCTTTATTGGACATTTGAGTTTCTTCTGTTGTGAAATACTAATGACTGTCTTTTACTCCTTCTCTTTTAAATTCTTTTAAACCCACTCTGTAAGACTTTTATACATGTCATGGAAACTAGCTCATTGTCATGTGTGGAAAATACATTCTTCCAGCAGATGGCTGGTCTTTTCACTTTCTTTATAATGTCTCTTGGAGACGATAAGTCCTTTTTTTTTAAACCAGAGTATCAGTTATTGAATTAAATAATATGGGCTTCTTTTTTGTCTTTAATTGATGCATATTTTGTTTTATTTTATTTTTTTCCACTCGTTACCCATTTTAATCAAAAATAGAGATTTATGGCACTTGATATAATGGCATAAAGCTATAAATAATTTGACAGGGCATCCTTTAAAAGTGAGAACCGGGCAAGGCATGGTGGCTCAAGCCTGTAATCCAGCACTTTAGGAGGACAAGGCGAGAGGATTACCTGAGTCCAGGGGTTCAAGACCAGCCTGGGCAACTTGGCGAGACTGTATCTCTACAATAAGTCAAAAAATTAGCCAGACGTGGTGGTACATGCCTGTGGCTCCCATTTCTTGGAAGGCTAAGATGGAAGGATCACCTGAACCCAGAAGGTCAAGGCTGCAGTGGCCGTGAGCATGCCACTGCACTCCAGCCTGTGTGACGGAGTGAGACTCCATCTCAAAAAAAAAAAAAAGTGAGAACCAATGTACAAATACATAGCTTCCTCACTCATCCTTGTTACCAACAGCTACTTAATTTAATCCTAAAGTCTGAGAACAATATTATTTCTACAACACAATGAGCACTGACTTCAATTTATTGTAGATTTCCTAAACAGACTTCTCTGTCTTCCAACAGGAGAGACATATCATCTGAAAACAAATGAGGCCTTACGTCTGTCTGATAGTCTCCCACCTGCCCAATAGTCCTAGAGCCTCGAAAACCAGGGACAGAACAACCCCATATCTGCCAACAAAGGATTCCTGGAGAGGCTCTTAACTCAAGACAAACTCCTGTACCACTCAGGAGAAATGGATGTTTCCAGGATCAGGAAAAGGTTAAAAGAAACTGAACCTAAGCTCTTCATCGGTTGTGTCCAGAGTGGCTTTGGCTTTCACTGCAGGGCGAGGCTTGCAGACCCTTCGGCTCTTCTTCCTGGTGGCTTCATTTACAGAATATGCACCTGGGCTGAAAGGGCAGCAGCCCCGAGAGCTCGCAGAGCCTCACGCCACTCTGCTTCCATCTGAGTCCTGAGGTCCCCAAACAAGGAGCACACCAGCTGCCTCTTCTGGGTTAGCAGAGTTCTTTCGCTACACAGGGTTCTTACTGCCCCAAGAGCCTGCTCTTTCTGTTTCGGGGTCAGTTTCTGCATCTTGAGGTCCAACTCCAGTTGCTCTACCACCAGGCCGGTTCCTGAGCCAGCTGCCTCGCCTGGGCCTCAGTACTTAGGGGGACTTCCTCTGTGGCGGACTTCTCCGAGGCCTTCTCGCCTCCGTCCTCCACCGAGGCCCTGATTCAGGTTTTCTTTTTACTCTTTTGCTTCTTCGGGGTTGCGTTGCCTTCACTGTCTGGGTCTGAGGCAGTTGGTGCCTCCCAAGCAGCATGTCCTGGGGCCATCATGCACTGCAGTCTACATTTGATTTTAAAAAGGCACTGTTTGCATTAGGTCACCACAAAGTAGATTTACAAGTAGCCATCAACTGAAGAAAAACACCAGAAAGTAAGTTTCTACGTGTTCCCAACAGAGATACTCTTTTCTTAATCACAAGGAAATTAAATATTTTTAGAAGGTAGAACTATTAAGTTTACAAAACACGCTATTTTTAAAGACAAAGGCACAATTTCTCATTTTCTATTCTTGGCATAAATTTTAATTCTTTCCAGTGGAACCAAAACCTCCAGTGCTTCTTTCAGTGTCATTTAAAACTTGAACTTATTCTATTTCTGGATAAAGAAATCAGTTCACAAATGGCGCAATTTGGTCACCTTCGACTTCAAACTTTCCCTTGCCCAAATTAAACAGTACAACATCAATATTTCCTCTATAATCTTCATCTGTGACACCAGCTCCTCCATCTAGAAAGTGTTTGGCAGCCATGCCCGAACGTGGAGCTCCTCTTCCATAACACCCAGAAGGAAGAGCTATCTGCGTGCCTGTTTTCACCAGCCTTTCTCCACAGGTGGTACTGCATAATCGTAGGCACTGTTTGGGTCACAGCCGTGGCTGCATGGTCCCCTGGGTCGGGGCCAGGTTGTGCTCTGAGAGCCGGGCAAAGCTGAGCTGCACGTCACCCTTCTTCGCAGGCCTGGTCACTTGGCTGGGGGAAACGAAGGGGGTCTCTGCAAAGCAGGGCATGGCCCAGAGAGACCAGCAGAGAGAATAAGAGAGCGCAGGGTGAGTGCTGCAACAGCGAACCCGCGCACGAGGTCCTTAACTGGAATACATTTCTCAATTTCTTTTAATTGTTCATTCTTTTCTTTTATGGCTAGCATTAGTTGTGTCCTGTGTAAGTTATCCCTTCTACTCTAGGTCATAAAGATATTCTATGCCTTCTTATAAAACTTAACACAATTAACCTTTTTTGCTTGTCTTTAATTTCTCTGGGATTGATTTTCAGTGTTATGTGGGTTAAGCACCTCAGTATCACTTTTCTGTGGTAAGCCACTGTCCTGCACTATATGTTAAATGTCTATTCTTGGTCCTGTGGTATGTGTGGCCCTCTCCCTCAGGGCTGCCGAGTGTCCCACGGTTTCCAGGGTAGTGCCCCACACTGCAGAGTGGCACACTCAGAGTCCCCACAGAGCACTATGACTAAACAGCAGTGTCACACATCCACTGAGGTTTATTTTAATAACCAGATTTTTTCATTTCTTCAAATTCGGATTCATTTTCAATTTGCCTGATCATTTTTTTAAAATGGCTTGCTCATTGCTCCATTTTTCAATACCATTTTTTGCTTCTTAAACATTTTTTACCGTCTATTTGATAACCCCAAAACACGAAGTCCTTGGGCTCTAAATATGCTGTTTGTCATTTCAGTTCACTCTCACTCACATGTTTTCTTCCGTGTTTGGTGACCTCTCAATCATGAACTCACGTTTTCACATCCTGTGGGCCTGGGTTGAGATTGCTTTCCTGATGAGACTCTTTATACTTGTTTCTGTCAAGAGCCAGGAGGTGCACCTGAGTGGAGGCACTTCAGTGTTCTTTGGGGACCCCCAGCTCAGTTCACTCACCTTGCAGCAGACCCAGACTTACTCTCCAGATCCAAGTTTACATGTCCCCAGGTTGTAACTCTGGCTTTTGTGTTTGCTAACTGTTGTTATTCAGATTTTAGCAAAATGTTTCTCTTATTGCTACTTATTTATTTCTTTTTGAGGGAAATACGGTTTCCTGGATATTTCCCTATTTTCTTGAAAGCCCTGGGACTCTTTAAAAAGAATGCCTGTTGCAGGTTATTTGGGTAGTCAGTCAGTCACACTACCTGTCTCCCATCTCTGTCCCTGACACTGAGAGGGTACCCAGCCGAAATCCCCCTGGAGCTGGACACACTGGTTTGGACAGAGGTCAAGCCCCCGTCCAACCACAAAGCTGGTGTTTCAACTTTCATCTGTTGATTCTTGTGTCTATTTTTCAACAGAATCAAAAATTAGAAAGGAACACGTACTGTTGATTCCCTTTATATGAAATGGACAGAAAAGACAAATCCACAAACACCTTAAGAGTGGCTGCCCAGGGCTGGGGGCAGGGGATGGAGAGGGACTGCAGAGGGCAGAAGCTTTCTTCACAAGATCGTGAATGTTCTGAAAGTAGGTTGTGGCGATGGCTCACAACTGTGCAAATGTACTAAAACCACTGAATTCTACTCTGTGCAGAGTAAATTTATGATATGTGAGTTATATCTCAATAAAACTATTGTATAGTTGGAAAGAAGACAGGGATGTTATTTATTGATATAAAACAAATGTTCAAAAATGCATATAAAACATAAACTTACAGTTCAGTGAATTGTCATAAAGCAAACATACACGTAACCATCATCTGGGTCAATACATAAAACACTGCCAGCAAACCAGAAGCCTTCTTCTTGTCCCTTCCTTCCAATCTGGGGACTTTAGCCACGGGCATGTCTTCCTTTTCCTTAGTGATACAGGAACAATAAATCCTAGACATAAGCCCTTTGTTGATTACAAGTGGCAAATATCCTCTCCTACTGGGTGGCTTGCCTTTGTGCTCTTTTAATGATATATTTTGAAGAACAGATGTCCTTAATTTTAAGGCAGATAAGTTAATTCATCTTTTAATGATTAGTGCTTTTTGCATCCTTTCTCTAAAAATAGGAGATTAATACATGGCCTCTTCAAACACTGTCACTGATTATACATTCTTTAATCAGATTCATATATTTTACTCTTTTATTTTTGCTTTTTTTCTGAAAGATGCAGTGGATATATATTTTTTTCTAGATTGCTAACAACAATACATTTACTATTTGAATAAAACAAAGCTAATTTGGAACACAGAAAATCAATATATTCACATAGAAATTATTCTCACAGTGACCTTTATAGTTCTCAATTTTTCAAAGTTAAAAAAAAAAGATTTATCATTGAGAAAACTTATAGTAAACTTCCATTTACCTAGAACCCAAACAATCAGATAATGTATTTTTAAATAATATTGTATAACACTAATGTCCAAAATTATGTGCCTGAGGTATTGTAAGATTTCCCAAAGATTATATTACATTCAAAATGCCTGTATTAGTATGAAATAATAAAGTGTTGAAGACTAGTAATTTATTTATGGTAGCTATGATGATTCTTTGTAATCAGATTATTCAAGTAACCAGAACATTTCCATCCTCTGACAAATCTGGACAATTGTGGCTTTACTCTAGAAGACTATATATATATATATCTTCATTATTTGGTCCTAGATAAATTTGTATAAAGTATACATATTTTTCCTTTCTCACTGCTAGGAGCTTTTCTTTTGAGATAGAAGAACACTGTTGTCTAGTGTTTCATATAAATTTAATTTACAAATTCAATTTGTACATAGGTATTTGTGCTAAACTATAGATTCTAGAAGAGTCATGATTAAACAGCACTTTCCATAGCACTTAGAATATGGCAGACACACAAATGTTTATGAATTAATTGAATGGTGAAACTAATTCACAAAAAGAATATGCTTCATTTGTTAATGAAACAATTTTCATCACCTAACCATTAAAATTCACTATGTATCTTTTCTCTTTAGCAAAAAAGTTAACCTCAACAAAGGATTTGTGAATACTTACTTTCTCTCCTTCCAGGCTCATGTTGTTCAAGACCATAAGCTCCAGATGGATTCAGCTGCCACTGTAAGAGGGCACAAACATTTTATTTATATATTTTTTAAAGGATTTAATAAATAGCACCTCAGCACTCTGTTTTTACGTATCAAAACAGTTTTTGTTTTTTTTTTTGAGTCGGAGTCTCTGTCGCCCAGGCTGGAGTGCAGTGGCATGCTCACGGCCACTGCAGCCTTGACCTGCTGGGCTCAGGCGATCCTTCCACCTCAGCCTTCCAAGTGGCTGGAACCACAGGCATGTGCCACCATGCCTGGCTAATTTTTAAATTTTTTTTTTGTCGAGACGAGGTCTCACCATGTTGCTCAGGCTGGTGTTGAACCCCTGAGCTAAGGCAATCCTCTCACCTCCACCTCCCAAAGTGCTGGGATTACAGGCATGAGTCACTGCACCTGGTTCAAAATAGCTTTTAAAAAAAATACAAGAAAAAGAAGTTAGCACATCCATACCAACAAAGCCCTAATGAAGCCACCCTGAGTGAGCCTGAATGGGGTGACTTTTGGAATCAGAATCAATACTCTTAGAGAAGTTAAAGATTCTTGACATTCATTTTACAGTAAGGAAGTGGAAGACCAAAGGATTGGGGTGACCTGCCCTAGGTTACACACCAACTACAGGCAGAGATAGAATTCACTATGATGCTAACACCACATCATAGTCTGTCTTCAGGTCCGAGAGAATCTTATGATAGCTAGAGAAAGTCTAAGCAGTGAAGAATGAAAATATGACCAAAATTACTTTGCCTTTTAATACTGTCATATAAACTATTATTTATATCACATCACCTTATATTATATCATATCACATCATATCATATATCTTCTCTGATTATAGTTTTCTATCTCAGTCATTCAGAAAGCAATAGGGAAGCCTGAAGATTCTCATACTACAGAGAAGACCGGAGCAGCAGAGAAAAAATGGAGAGTCATCAATGTATCACAGCACAGTCCTTCCTTTCTTACCAGCTAGACTCTCTATCCAAATTGTTAGCCAGGTGTGGTGGCTCATGCCTGTAATCCCAGCACTTTGGGAGGCTGAAGCGAGAGGATTGCCTGAGCCCATGGATTCAAGACCAGCCTGGGCAAATTGGCAAGACCTTGACTCTACAATAAATCAAAAAATTAGCTGGGTGTGATGGCACATGCCTGTAGTTCCAGCTACATGGAAGGCTGAGGTGGAAGGATGGCCTGAGTCCAGCAGGTCGAGGCTGTGGTGGCCGTGAGTGTGCCACTGTACTCCAGCCTGGGTGACAAAGTGAGACTCCAACTCAAAACAAAACAAAACAAAATTGCTAATGACTTAACCATAAAAGCCCTGCCAAGACACTATCACAGGAGACACAATTAAGCATGAATTCCTTGGGAGCCTCTTCAATAAGTAGGAATGAGTTCATCAGATTAACTAGTTAACATCTTGCACCTTGAGAGAAGATGAGATACAAGTAAAACATTTTACTACATATGAAAAGTTCTCAAAAAGAGAGGACTTCTAGAACTGATTGATCACTTATAAAAACAGGATGGTTTGGGCCAGCACCAAGAAAGAGAGAGGACTTAGAGAGGTCAGGAAATTATATAAGTATTTACTAAAAGAGACAAAGAGAGACAGAGAGAAAGAAAGGCATATTTTGAAACTTACTTAACTACTCAAACTTACTAATTTGGGCAAAATAAAAACTAATAATCCTGAATATATATTTAAGGATGTTCATAAAAAGGCTTTTAATAGCTATAAAAGCTTAGAAAAAATCCAGGTGTCCAACAACAGAGGAATGATTAAATAAGTTAGGTCTGTGGGATGGAATATTGTATAATTATTAAAAATAATTTTTGAGGCTAGGTGTGGTGGCTCACACCTGTAATCTCAACACTTTGGGAAGCCAAAGCAGGAGGATCACGTAAAGGCTGGAGCTTGAGACCAGCCTGGGTGACAAAGCAAGACCCCATCTCTAAAAAAATAATTAAAAAGAAATTAACCAAGTATGGTAGTGTGTTCCTAGTCTCAGCTACTCAGGAGGCTGAGGTAGGAGGGCTGCTTGAACCCAGAAGGTTGTGGTTACAGTAAGCTATAATTGCATCTTTACACTCCATCTTGGGTGACAGAACAAGACCTTGTCTCTAAAAATAATAATAATGACAATAATTTTTGAAAATTTTTTTTTCTTTTTTCTTTGAGTCAGATTCTCTCTGTCCCTCAGCTAGAATACAGTGCCACACTCACAGCCACTGCAGCCTTGACCTGCTGAGCTCAGGCGATACTTCTGCTTCAGCCTTCCAAGTAGCTGCAACTATAGGCATGTGCTACCATGCTTGGTTAATTTTTTTAAAAAAATTTATTGTAGAGACGAGGTCTCGCCAAGTTGCCCAGGTTGGTCTCAGATCCCTGGACTCAGGCAATCCTCTCACCTTAGCCTCTTAAAGTGCTGGGATTACAGGCATGAGACACCACACTCAGCTAAGAATTTTTAATGATACCAAATACACTAACATGTTAACAGTGGTGTCTATGAGTTGTAAAATAATACATATTCTTTTTTATTTTCCTAGTTTTTAACCATGAGCATATATTACTTTCATAATTTAAAAAAAAGGCAATATTACCAAATAGAGAAAAATCCACATGAATACACACTAGTAAAATCTATTCTTGAAAATAGTGTTGCCCAGCTCTAGGCTAGCTTGGGACAGCACCACAGAAAAGAGTCATCTATCTCAAGGTCTATAGTAACATATCAAAAGGAAAAGTGCAACTCTTTTAAACAAAATGTATTTCAATCTACTTTAATCTTAAAAAAAATCAAATGTATTGACATGTAGTATTTTTGACAGTCCCAAATAAAACAATCATTATTGAAACTCAAATTTATAACAAATATTAGGCCAGGCATGGTGGCTCATGACTGTAATCTCAGCACTTTGGGAGGCCAAGGCAGGAAAATGGCTTGAGCCCAGGGGTTCAAGACCAGCCTGGGCAACACAGTGAGATTCCGTCTCTACACTACAGAAACGAAATTAGCCTGGCATGGCAGTGTGCACCTGTAGTCCCAGCTACTTGTGAGGTTGAAAGATTGCTTGAGCCTAGGAGTTTGAGGCTGCAGTGAGATGGAATTATACCACTGCACTCAAGCCTGACTCAAAAAAAAAAAAATCATGTTAATTACTGGTATTTATATGAAACTAGGTGCTTAGCTAACCATCTACATAGTACTTCCAGTCAGGTCAGATGAAGGAAATGATGAGAGGGAGGAAAGTCAATCTTCACTGGAAGAGGAACAAAGAGCAACCATGAGTGCATCCTTTCTCTGGTACATGTACCTGAGTGAGGGTGTTCCTGGGCGGCTCAGGCCCAACTAGGCATTTCTGTCTCCCATCTCTGCCCCTGGGGCCACCCTTTGTCTTCCTGCCTCCTTCTACCTCTCTTGCCCTGTTTAAAGTCCTTCTGATCTCTTTACAATTGAAAAGCTACTAAAATCTACCAGAATATTTCAGAATTCACCATCATTCAGTCCTGAAGAGAATCTTATGAAGAGAATCTGAAAAACCTGATTCTTCACACTTTTCAGGAGGACTGAAGAGACAGAAAACAAAAACACTGAACTGGAGAGTTCTCTGATGAACTGGATACTATAAGTTTTTATTTAGTTTTACAAGGGAAGCATCTTTCCCCATCTCTCTTTTTTCAGTGACATCACTCCCCCTTCTTTTTTTAAACTGTGATAAACTTGAAATAAAACAATTAGAAATAAAAATAAATGACACAAAGTATAAATTTATGATACTTCATATATACACAGAAACTGAATAGAATATTTCTGTATTTAAAATTATATAGATACATATGTTCCAGATTTCCTGTATTCAAACTGATGTGTACAATAGCAATCTAAAGCTGAAATTTATGAACAGTTCTTTTATATGCTTTTTCTGCCCACTGCAAATTCTAGTATTTAAATGTTACATTAAATGCCAGGAAGAAATCACTGGACGTGATAAAAACAATGCACGATTCTGGAGAGAATCCTTTGCTACATAGGACATCACTGGGGCAGCTGGTAAACCCTGACTTGAATCTGTATTAATGACAGTAATGTGTCAATGTTAATTTCCTGATTTTTGTGGTTGTGGACGTGATAAAAACAATGCACGATTCTGGAGAGAATCCTTTGCTACATAGGACATCACTGGGGCAGCTGGTAAACCCTGACTTGAATCTGTATTAATGACAGTAATGTGTCAATGTTAATTTCCTGATTTTTGTGGTTGTATAGTGGTTATGTGGGTATAGTGGTCATTTGAGGAAATAAAGGGTGACCTGGTATGTCAACAACTTCTGGGAAAGAAGGTTCTTCGTAGTGTTCTTGTAACTTTTCTGTATGCTTAAGATTGTTTCAAAATAAAAAAGTTTTTTAAAAACCTAAATAGTGAAGAAGTATGAAGAGTGAAAAGTTCTGTTTTCCAGGAACTACCTCAGTACTTTTTTGAAATATCAAATATGAAACGCTATTTTTTCCTGATTGTTCTCATGAGAAGTGTGTGCGTGTGTGCGCATGCACACACGCACACACACACACAATCTCCCTGTCTTTGGGAAATT